CCTCACTTCTTCAGATGCAAGAAGATGCTTATGCTCCCAATACTTCTGTTAGTCTTAAAGGTGCCACAGGACCCTCTGTTGCTTTTTACAAAGGGCAAAGGCTCCTGAGATATAGCCCATGCCCTCACTTTGGAAAAGATTCGGAGTTTTGGGTGACAATCCAACAGCCATTCAGTAAAAACCAATTGACTTTGGCATCCTCGACAGGAAACAAGGGACTCCCATCTACAGCCCCAGGCCTGGTGGGAGAGGGTCCTGTTGGTAGCTCCAGACCCTGCCTGCAAGGGACGCTGACTGAAGTGACCGTGGAGCTGGTTGACAGGCACCTTCTCTCGAGGAGGGACCGAGCCTGACATCGGGGGGTTCCCTGGCTAGGAGGACCCGGCCCAACAACAGCCAGAGCCCAGCGCTAGTGCGAGCCCCCCGCCTCTCCCGCCAGCGCCCTGCCCGGGCTAAGCCCAGCCCGCCGGGAAAGGGGACAGCGACGCGCGGGAGCCAGCGGCCCGGCTGCCTTTACCTCCATGCCCAGCTTCTGCTTGAGCACCAGGGCGGCGCACAGGTAGCCGGCCCGGCCCACGAAGAGCTCGTCGGAGCCGCACTCCAGGAAGGTGACGGGGGCGCAGATCTGGCTCAGCTCCCGGAACCGGCCCAGCAGCCGGCCGAAGTCGGGCAGCCCCAGGGCTTGGTAGACGAGCGCGGCCACCGCGTAGACCCCGGCCCCGCCGAGCAGGAAGGCGGCCCGCGTGTCGGCGTCCGGCTCGCCCCACTCCTCCTCGGAGCGCACGCAGGCGTCGATGAGGCGCCGGGCCGCCCGCAGGTAGGTGTCCCGGGCCGGGGCCAGGAGCGGGCAGCGCGCGGCGTGGTACAGCATGTAGGCCACCCCGGCCAGCCCGCCGTACAGGCCGCCCCCCGCCGCCGCCGCGCCGCCCTCCAGCGGGGGCACCTGCTGCAGGATGCGCTCGATGGTGGAGGCGACCCAGGGCACCACCGCCTCGTGGCGCTGCCCGGCCGGCAGGCTGCCCGCGTAGTCATCGAAGCGGTTGGCGAAGCAGCGCTTGCTCTCCATGCCCCCGCCGGGCCGGGCTGCAAAGGGGGCGCAGGGACGCGGCTTCCTCTTCGGTGCCTTGGAGGAGCTGGGCGAGCAGCCCGCGGCGGCGGCGGCTGCACCGAAATCGGAGCGGGGGTTTGATTAAGAGTAAAAGTCCGTCCCCGCAGCGGAGCGTTGCTCCCTTCGCGAGCCGATTGCCGGGGCTGGCTCCAGCCTTGGTTTAAATGGCTCAGAGAAACCCCGCCGCTGCCTACTGCTGCTGCTCGCCCAGAGAGAGAATCTGCGCCAGCATGAGGCCGCCTCGCCCCGGCCCCGCCAACCTGCTGTCGTCCTTGGCTGCAGATGCGGCTGTCAAGCGGGAGGGCGCATCACCTGCCGGAGCCTCCCCCCGCACCCCTAGCGGAGGGCGGGCGAGGAGAGAGAAGGGAGGCCAGTGGAAGGCTGCAGCCCCGAGCTGACCCCGCTCAGCGCTTCCCCACGACAGGCAAAGAAAGCGGAGCGTGGCTTGTATGGATCCAGTCCTAGAGCCTGGCTAACACAAATGCAGGAGGATGGCCGTTCTTTTCTTCTTTCCTGCTCCCAACAGGCCTGTGGATAATCCTGGTGTTTTCCTTTATGTCTCTGCCCGCAGAGACGAGGGTTGCCAACTCTGGTCTGGCCCTATTCCTGGAGGTTTCATCAAATGACATAACACTGCTCTACAGCCAAAATGCTTCTGAAATAAATGTAGTCAAACTTCACCAATTCTGGGTCACTGAGAACAAAAATGATGCTTAAAATTGTTGATTGGCTCTAGTTTTCAAGATATACTATTGGGTC